ATTCCTAAACACCTATCAGAATGTCTATAAGAATATTAAAAAAAAAAAAAAAAAAAAAGTGACACTGTTATTCACTAGTATCTTGGTGCCATTCCCAGAAAGCATGCTTTATGTGATTGTCAAGTTTTTGCAGACTGTTCTCTATTTGCAGCCTCTACGTTAGCGTGCGTGACTGATTTCCTCAGCTCTCTTCATCCTTTCCTAACTCAGTTTCGCTGACAAATATCTGTCTCCTCCACAGGGTTCCTAGAAAATATATATATTTATTTATTCATTTAGAAAATGAAATTCCACATTCAGCACAACACTGTTGGCTTTTGTTTGTTTGTTTTAGGGGGAAGCGGGAAGATAGCCAATGTAACCATTCCATTCAAGCAGCTATGGCATTCCTCATTTAACTGGTTGACCAAGGATAAGTTGGGTCTTAGCATCTCAGCTTTGGCAGTACTGGGCTCTGGGCAAGGGGACAAAGTGATTGCTGAACTTCCCCATAGACAGGAAGTGTTGTACTAATCAGGACTCTTTTGGTTGGAAATGGCAGAAATGAAGCCAAAATAAAATAAGCAGAAGGGGGAATTTTCGGCTCTCATAAACTGAGGAGAGGGCAGGGCACAAACGGGCTTCCAGGGATGCCTGGGAGCAGGAAGTCAAATGCCATTAGGATTCCTAATCCCTGTCCCTTTCTCAAACTCCACAGTGATGGAGAGTCCCAAAGCTCCTCCCAGGCTCACCACTCCAGCTTCTTCACACGTGGGACAGTCCCTGATGTTTCTGTTCCCATTTAAAAACTCCTGAATGAGGACTTTGAAGATCCATGCTCGGGTCACTTGCCTAGCCCCAAGATCAGTATTTGGCTAGAACCAACTAGTTGGTGTAAGGCCAGGAGCTGTTCTTTAGGAGGAGAGGAGTGCAGTGCTGCAGACAGTAACGGATGACCTCCACAAAGCTCAAATTTTTGACTTGGACCAGCCAGCCTCCTTGAATTGCTGTGATTTATACGTGGTCCTTGGATGAGGACTGACCCCAATTCTCAGTTGCTCAAAAATGCTTTCCCTTCTCACAGTCCTCTCAAATGGATTAGTATTGGCATTTGAGGAGTTTTGAGGGATGGGAAAAGCAAGACCAAGAGAGAGTTTACTGAGGCATTTGCCTTTTGGTGTTTGAGTCGTTAAACTTTTCTAAAACACCATGGGCATTTTTCAATGGTTCTCTCCATTCTCAAAATAGAGAATGCAGACACATTAGAAAAGCAGAAGGAAGTCTGTAGGAAAATTATTTACTCTATAATTAAAATGCTGCTGCCAGGTGACAAAGAAAGACTGACTTAAGCTTCGAGGCAGAAGTGGAGCAGCGGTGCTAGAAAGGGAAGAGTCCCTAAACTCCCTTCCCAGGGAAGTGTGCTTTTGGTCAAGATAAGCAGATCTATCCCAGTCCACCCTCCTTGTCTGCTGTTTCCAGAGCACTGAGCAAATGCAGAGTCCACACCAAAAAAGCCACAGAAATTATTTTCCTGCCCCTGGCATTCTGATGCTCTGATCACTTCTATTGCCTGCCTTTGTGATACTGGGAGAAAGAGTCAGAAAGTACTGATGGGTGCAAACGAGGGTGGGTAACACGGGCTTGGGAGGTGCTGTGAGTGGAGTGATGTCACTCCCAAGTATATATGGTAATGCCCTAACCCCTACTGCCTGTGTTAGGCCATTCTTGCACCGCAATAAAGAAATACCTAAGACTGGGTAATTTATAAGAAAAGAGCTTTAAGTGGCTCACTGTTCTGCAGGCTGTCCAGGAAGCACAGCAGCATCTGATTCTTGGGAGGTCTCAGGAAATGGCAAGGGGGAAGCAGGCTTATCACAGGGTAAGAATGGAAGCAAGAGCGAGAGAACGGGTGGACAAAGGGCCACATACTTTTAAATGACCAGGTCTCGTGAGATCTCACTATCTTGCAGATGGCACCAAGCCACACGGGATCTGCCGTCATCCAAATACCCTCTGTCAGGCCTCACATCCAGCAGTAGGGATTAGAATTCAACATGAGATTCAGGCGGAGACAAATATCTAAATTATGTCACTGTGACTGTGTCCTTATTTGGAAATAGGGTCTTTGCAGATGTATTCAAGTTAAGATGAGGTCAGTAGGGTGAACCTGAATTCATTTATTCAACACAACTGGTATCCTTATTAGAAGGCAACATTTGGACATAGAGACAGAGAGGGAAAACAGTGCAGACAGAAGAATACAGTCCCGTGAGGGGACACGTAGTGAGGGAACGGAGGCAGAGAGATCGATGGTGTGTTGTCACAAGCCAGGGAACATCTGAGGCTGCCTGAAGCTGGAAGAGGAAAGGAAAGATCTTCCCCTGAGGCTTCCAGGGGAGCATGGTCCGGCCAACACCTTGATCTTGGCCTTCTGGCCTCCAGAACTGTGAGACAATGAATTTCTGTTGTTTGAAGCCACTCCGTTTGTGACATTTTGTTGTGTCAGCCTAGGAGACTGGTACAGGGGTGATGTGGGGGTTAGGGAAGCAACACAAGAAAATGAAAAACATGAAAATACCTCATTGGGAAACCCAGTATGTATGATGTGATAGCATTGATTCATCTATGTAAAATTACAATATGTGCATATGTATAAAGAAACTCAAAAATAGAAAATGAAGAGGAAAAATATCTTCCCTATGTTTTCAGCCAAGTAGAGATTCATTCATTTGGATTCACAGGCATCTATTTTAAAACACAAACATCCTTGAGAGCATTAACTGGAAGAGTTCATTACATTTCATGTAAAGTTTTATAACTAGCTAATCAAAATTCTTTCCTCTTAATGTTCAGCAGAAACCAGTATAGAGGCCTTCGAATTTTTGCTTAGGAGGAATGGAAGGCTTTTATTATCTCAGTATGATTAACTTAACTATTAATTCAATATATTTTTAGGACTAATTCTATTTTAAAATTTTCCCTCGCTATTTGGCTTGTTAAAAATTCTACTATATTTGTTAGGCCAGGTGGCCTGATCCTTTGTTTGGGTAGAATGAAAACCTGGCCAGGCACAGTGGCTCATGCCTGTAATCTGAGCACTTTGGGAGGATTGCTTGAGGCCAGGAGTTCAAGACCAGCCCGGGCATCATAATGCCCTATCTCTACCCACCTCCTTTTTAAAAATCAGTTAGGCATGGTGACACACACCTATAATCCTAGCTACTTGGGAAGCCGAGGCTGGAGGATTGCTTGATCCCACGCATTTGAAGCTGTAGTGAGCTACAATCATACCACTGCATTCTACCCGGGGTGACAGAGTGACAGTATAACTCCAAAAAAAAAAAAAAAAAAAAAAAAAAAAAAAAAAAAAAAAAAAAAAAAAAAAAAAAAAAAATGAAAGAAAGAAAGAAAAAGAAAACCTAAATAGTGCTCCTTAGTTAGAGTTCTTTAGACAACAAAGGGCCAGGTGAAGGCCAAGTGCCATCTATGGGAGGCTGGCAGTGGTGCCTGCAGTGGGAGAAGGGAGAATAACATGAGAGGAGAAGTTTGCTGAGTTTCATCATTATGGAAACTGCTTCTTGATAGCCTTTACTGTCATTTGGCTATTACCTTTCTGACTTGCCAGCATCTGTTTGCTAGTTAACAAACTGTTGCAAAAATGCAATTACTGATGTAACGGATCCTGCATGCTAACTCTCTGACCCCAAATTTAGTTTGCTCCCATGCTTGGGTAGGTTGTACTCTCTGTTTTGGTTTATTTGACTAGTAACAATTGTCGAATCTTCCCTTCTCCTCAAACTGGAGGTGTGCATGGATGTGCGCCCGGCATGAGGGGTGAGGAATGGCCACTGACAAGGAAGTCTGAAGTGGCCTGCAGCAAGCAACAAGTTTGGGTTTTTTACAAAAAATCATTTAATTTTACATTCTACTCAGTGCTTTATCAGTGTTTAACATTTTAACCCATGCATGGGTTAATTAACGTTTTCATTGACATTCCTATTAGGTGATTTAATTCCCTTTCTCCACATGCCCCTCTCTTCTGCCTTTGAGCACAAAAGAGGCTCTGAAGGAAGATATGCATGCGATGTGTTGTGGCTTAGAGGGCCTCCTCTCTTTGGCTGCCTCCTTTACTATGTCCCAGGAGAAGTCTCTCACTTTTGGAAACAATTATAAAATGAAGGATTGCCAACTATCTGAGGAAAGCCATTTAATAAATGATAATGCCCAAACCTAACAAATGATCTAAGAAGAGCCTTTAAACATGGAAGGTAGAGAACATACACTCCAGCTCGAGGGGCATCAGGCTGGCACCAGACAGAGGTGCTCAAACCCCGGGAGTCTGAGCTCAGCCCAGCACAGGAAATGGGAGTGAGTGAGTCAGCACGGAGCACATTGCAGCGATCTGCTGCTGATGCCCAGCTCTCTCAAGGCCTCTTAGGGAACTCACACAAGTGCTGCAGGCCGTGAGGCATGGGCTCACAGCTGAGGTCATCTCAGCTTCTAGCCTGGTCAAGATGTAGGCAAAACTCTGAAGAAGGCAAAGTGTAGCCTCCTCCTGTTGATTCTACTTTCGAGTTGTCTGAGACTGCTCTTCCCCAAAGGGCTCATTCTGCAGACATTTATCCTTGTCCCAGTGTCATAGTCTATTTTGTGTTGCTATAAAGGAATACCTAAGCCTAGGTATTATTTTTAAAAGAGGTCCACAGTTTTGGAGGCTTACAAAAAGCATGGCACCAGCAATTGCTTGGCATCTGGTGAGGGTATCAGGCTATTTCCACTTATGGCAGAAGGTGAAGGAGAGTCTGTGCAGAGGTCATATGGAAAGACAAGAGGGAACGGTGGGAGGTTGGGAGTGGGAGGTATCAGGCTCTTTTTAACAACAACTTCCTGTGGGAACTAAGAGAGTGAGAGTTCACTCACAGCCTCCCACTCCCAAGGAGGGCATTAATCTATTCATGAGAGATCTGCCACCCCGAACCAAACACTTCCCATCAGGCCCCAACTGCAACATTGGGAATCAGATTTCAACATGAGGTTTGGAGGGGACAAATACCCAAACCATAGTGACTAGTTCCTAACACCACTCAACTCTTACCATAGATATTTGCTTCTCCTGTTTACCATTTCCGGTCAATACCTGCTGAGACAGGCTTTTAAATAGTAGGGTTTTAGAAGAGATTTCATTTAAGCATTATGTAGATGGATGAATGTGTTAGTCATTGAATTGCTATAATGGAATACATGGCTGGGTATGGTAGCTCACACCTGTAATTCTAGCACTTTGGGACGTTGAAGGGGGAGGATCACTTGAGCCCAGGAGCTTGAGACCAGCCCTGGCAACATAGCGAGACTTCTTCTCTACAAAAATTTAAAAATTAGCTGGGTGTGGTGTTGTGCATCTGTCGTCCCAGCTACTCAGGAGGCTGAGATGGGAGGATCTCTTGAGCCTGGGAGGTTGAGGCTGCAGTGAGCCATGGTCATGCCACTGCACTCTAGCCAAAGCAATAGAGTGAGACCCTGTTGAAAGACAGAAAATAACCAAAAGGAAAGAGAGAGAGATAAAGGAAAGAAAGAAAAAAGGAAAGAAGAAAGAAAGAAGGAAAGAGGGGAGAGAGGGAGGGAGGGAGGAAGGAAGGAAGCAGGCAAGCTAGCTGAGGTTGGGTAATTTATAAATAAAAGATATTTAATTAACTTACTGTTTTGCAAGCTGTAAGAAAGCATGGCAACAGCATCTCCTGGGGAGGCCTTAAGAACCTTACAATTAAGGAAGAAGGTGGCAGGCACATCACACAGTAAGATCAAGTAATGTGGGAGATGGCACACTCTTTTAAAAACATAGATCTTGCATGAACACGGGTGCGAATTCTCACCACCGAGAGAGCAGTGATAAGCCATTCCTGAGAGACCAGTTTCCATGATCCACACACTTCCCGCCAGGCCCCAGCTGCAAAACGGGAATCACATTTCAGTATGAGATTTGGAGGGGACAAATATCCAAATCATATTACCAAAGGATGCATTGAGAGACAAGCAAGCTTTCAGGATCCTTCCAATTGTACTGGGAAAGTAGCTTCTCTTCACCACCTCCCCTCTACCCTTCCCAACCTCTGGTAACTATCATCTGCTCTCTACCTCCGTGAGATCAACTTTTTTAGCTCCCACATATGTATGAGAACATGTGGTATTTGTCTTTCTGTGCCTGGCTTATTGCACTTAACATAATGACCTCCAGTTCCACCTATATTGCTATAAATGACAGAATTTCATCTTTTTAATGCTGGAATAGTATTCCATTATGTATATATATCACATTTTCTGTATCCATTTATCTGTTGATGGACACTTAAGGTGATTCTATTTTTTTACTGTTGTGAATAGTGCCACAGAAGACATGGGAGTACAGGTAAGTGTTAGATGAGCTTTGTTCAGGCATGAGGTAAAGAGCTGTGAGGTATGAGTTCAGTGCTAACAAATCAACAATACATATGCTATGGTTTGAATGTTTGTCCCCTCCAAAACTTATGTTGAAAGTTAATCCCCAGTGTGGTAGTACTGAGACATAGGACCTTTAAGAGGTGAATGAGGCTGGGCATAATGGCTCATGTCTGTAATCCTAGTACTTTGGGAGATCAAGGCAGGAGGATTGCTTCAGGCTAGGGGTTTGATACCAGCCTGGGCAACATAGTGAGACCCTGTCTCTACCAAAAATACAAAAATTAGCTGGGCATGGTGGCATATGTAGTCCTAGCTACTTGGGAGGCTGAGCTGGGAGGATCTCTTGAGCCCAGGGGTTTGAGGGTACAGTGAGTCAAGATCACATCACTGCACTCCAGTCTGGGTGACAGGGCAAGACCTTGTCTTGAAAAGAAAAAAAAAGACATAATTGGGACATGAGGGCTCTGTCCTTATAAATTAATCCATTTGTGGATTAATGGGTTAATGGATTAATTAGTTGTTACAGAGTGGGACTTGTGGATTTAAAAGAGTAAGGGAAATCCGAGCTAGCCCACTCAGCCCCTCACCATGTGATGCCCTATGCCACGCTGGGATTCTGTAGAGTTCCCACCAGCAAGAAGGCCCTCACCAAATGTGTCCTCTTGACCTTGGACTTGTCAGTCTCCATAATTATAAGAAATAAACTCCTGGCTGGGCACAGTGGCTCATGCCTGTAATCCCAGTACTTGGAGAGGCTGAGGCGGGTGGATCCCCTGAGGTCAGAAGTTCAAGACCAGGAGTTCGAGCCTGCCGAACATGGTGAAAACCCACCTCTACTAAAAATACAAAAATTAGCTGGGTGTGGTAATGTGCCTATAGACCCAGCTGCTTGGGAGGCTGAGACAGGAGAATTGCTTGAACCCAGGAGGCGGAGGTTACAGTGAGCCAAGATCATGCCACTGCACTCCAGCCTGGGCAACAGAGCAAGACTCCATCTCA